AAGATTTTCTGAGAATAGTATCAAATACAGGCAGCCTACACAGATATAACCAGGCATTAAGTCTATGCAAGATAGACAAATGCAGATTTCTAATATTTCTCTAATGTTTAGCATGAATTTGATTTATGTGAGGAATCTGTTACCAAAATTACTGTAATCTGTTTCTAAAATGAAAGAAGTATGACAACATAATTATAGGTTGTTGTTGTTGTTGTTAAACTCCATCGTGCTGGTTCCAACTCATTGCAACACTGTACAGGGGTTTCCATGGAGCAAGTAGTGGGTTTGAATCACCGGCCTTGTGGTTAGCAGTCCAGTGCTTATCCTATAACACCACACTGGGACTCCAATTTTATGTTACATGCATTTAAATGTTATTTTACTGACTAAAATTTCTAAATTAAGTGTATTTAAGGTAGAACGATAGCAGAGGATCTTCAAGACAGTAAATGTACAAGAAAGAAAAGTACAAAGAAGACTATGTAGTGAATGATCTCACTTGTATTAAAACATTTAGCAAACATTTGTATGCACAAATGTATGGAACTGTATAGAAAAAGATCTAAGAGGCTACAAGTCAAACATAGAAATTAGCTCTGAGGAAAGGAGTTCTGGGGTAGGGGTGGGTGGGAAAGAAGAAAGCAAGCAAAGAGAGGAGGCTAGGAGAAGAGAGGAGAAAAAAATATTTCTGAACTTTGCATTTTTTTGAAGAAAATATATACATGCACTAAAGCCTAATACTACTAAAAGATTCCACAATTATACGCTTGACAGTACTATCCCTGGCAGAAAAAGACAATACAACATATTAAAAGACATGGTAGATATTTGACTTCATTACCTCATTTAAATATATTTGAATACTTACCCATGAGGAAGAGGTTTAAGTATGCGTTGCCTCCTAAATTAACAGAATTCAAGGAGAACGAGTAGAACCCCAAACTCCCTGTGAACCAAATCAGCCAAACAATAAGGGTTCTTATTGCAATATTCCAATCACAAAACAGATCCAATACACTGTGCTTCTTTACTTCAGAGGGGTTGCTACCAACAGGATCATTTAGATGCAGTGATAGAAGTTCTGACAGTTTACAGGAGCTTGTTCTATTCCACTTGGCCATCACATCCACGACTTTCTGTGCTTCGTCATACCTTGTCTCTGAGAGAAGCCAGAAAGGTGTCTCTGGGAGCAACCAACAGCATAAAACAAATGGTAATGTCAAAATGGAGAGGACTATCTGGTACAACCACCAAGTCCTGACAAAGTAGCCCGTCAAAGCCACCGCCATTATTCCAATGGCAAAAAAGGAGTGCACATGGATAGAGGCCCACGTTCGAGATTTCATGCCAATGAACTCCGTCACATAGACAAACACCACCACGAGATAGCCACTCGCAGCCTAAAAAGAAAAGGAGAGTGGTCAAGATTTAAGGTCATATTTATAACTACTGATGGGCTGATCTCCCTGCAAACACACAGAGGCAAAAAAAGAAAATAACTAAGAATAGCTTTCTGAAAACCTTATCACATTTGTAAAAATGGCATTCAGTTTGGTCTATCTTTCTTCCTTAAATAGCCCCTTCCCTTACTCTCTCCACCCTTAGTGGCAAAATATGAGAGGTCATTTATAATATAAATGTTAGCTACTTTAAAATACTGCTTCATTACAGTGTGGGTTTATTTCTCAGTTCCTTGTAAAAACACATATCAATCTGTCTGTATTTATATCCACTCCACTGCTGTTCAGTGGATTCTGGCTAATAGCAACCTTATAGGACAAAGCAGAATGGTCCCAGAGGATTTCTAAGGTTGGAATATTTATGGAAATAGATGGCCATGTTTTCTTAAAGAGTCTAATAGATTTGAACCACTGACTTTTCAGTTAGCAGCTGAGTATTTAACCACTGTGTAAATTGGGTAAAAATTTTGCACATTAACTAATGGCAAAATAAAAGAAATATTTATTTGAAACAGCTTATCCTTAGTTTAATAAAATTCTTAGATTGACAAAGGATGAATGAAAAGAAGGAGTTTGGAAGTAGGGAGGGGAGTGAATGGTTTATAATTTTTACTACAAAATTGTTTTATATTTGGAAAGGCAGCAATGAAGAAATGGGCTGAGTTCCACCACGTTCCACAGTCTCCTGTTGACCTGGAGATGAGAGAGAGAAGAGGAAGGGCTGGTTTGTCCAAAGTTTGGTGAGACCTGAGGACACCTGAGCCCATGGACAAGGACATAGCCACAGAAGGCTAGAGCTGAGAGTGAAGCATCCAGCTGATATGACGTGAGGGGAGACACACAAAAGCATCCAAACTTGTAGATAGTACCCATTTGACCTAGTTTCGATGGCTTGGTAATCAGAATTCAACCAGAGGAAGACAAAAAAAAAATTTTTTTTTTTTTTAATAAAGAAAACAAGGGTAGATTGCTACAATTTGATGAACTTGAGTCGGTTCTGACTCATAGTGACCCTGTACAGGGTTTCTGAGGATATAAATCTTTATGGGAGCAGAAAGCCTTATCTTTCTCCAGCAGAACAGCTGGTAGTTTTGAACTGCTGACTGTGAGATTAGCAGCCTGATTTGTAACCACTACACTACCAAAGCTCCTTATACTTATGGATGCAGTAGCTCAAAATACCAACAATGAGGGAAGGAGTCTTCACATCAAGTATCAATGTATCAAATATCAACTTAGTTGTTGCTGTCAGGTGCCATCAAGTCAGAGCTGACTCATAGTGACCCCATGCACAGCAGAACGAAACAATGTCCAATCCTGGGCCAACCTCACTACCGCTGTCACATTTGAGTCCATCAATGATGCCACCTGGCTGATCCATCTCATTGGGGTCTTCCTCTTTTTCTCTGACCCTCCATCTTACCCAGCATGACATCCTTCTCCAGCGACTGTTCCCTCCTGA